GTGTGTGTTTTTGTGTGTGTGTGAGATCATATTAGAACGGAGTTGTGGGTTTGAACCAGCCTCAGTGATACATTAGAGGATATTGGTCAAAGAATATGGGCTGTGTAATCCCTCTCTAATATGATGAATATTATAATTATTAATACTATAATGCTAACACTAATTACTTAGAACTGCATTAATAAAGTCAAATGTAAAGGACAACTGATGCAAATGAGCTCTTAGCTAAGACTGGTGCAGTTACTTTTAATTGTGCGCTGTCCCCGCAAAAATAGACAAATAAAATAAATAAAAATGTTTGTATTTCCAGTTACCTCTCTACTCTAAACCTTTAGAGAAAAGGCAAACAAATACTAGAATAAATTATATTTTAAAAAAATCTTCAGTCCACTAAAAACCCCCTCAGTGTGAAAGCTTTTGTAAACATGTAAAAAGCAGAGGGCCATCATCCTGTTCATTATCATTTCTTTGTGTGTCAGAGTAAAGCAGGTCCAGTGACTGACTACGTTCGGGGAGAAGACGTCCTAGACATCTGGTTTGACAGCGGAGCATCATGGGCTGCTGTACTAGAAGGTACATTGGAAGCTTCTTAAAACAGATACAAGTTTGCAAAATGGATGTATGAGACTTTATATTGTACATGGATGTGATGATTCTACTCTCTTACACTTCTCTCTCCACTGACACTGTTGTTGTTCTCAGAGTAGCAGCAGTTAATTCTCCAGCTCACTCCAGCTTTCAAAAGGCCTTTAATCGAGTGTCCTTTCATTAGTTTTATTGTAGAGAAAGCTACTTACACCTGCCTTACGTAGTCCTATTAAGTTGCTTTGCGAAGTAAGCAGTGGTTTGCTGATCACAGACCTGGATTAGAAGGCAGTGCAGTCTCAGCATACCAGGGTCACCATTAGTAGAACTGCAGACAATAACATCAGTGACCCACCTTAAGCTAATCTAGCAGTAAGTCTTCAAACCTTACATACATCACAAAAGTGTGCCAGTGTGGTATCATTTTGTTTGATGAAGAAGTGTGTTTTATGAATCTTTTCTCTTTCTTTATTCCACAGCAGAAAATGTTCCCCTCAACAAGTTAGTTTGTGTGGTAGCCTCAAACACTGAAGCAAGCTGTGAAAAAAATGCACTTTTGTTGACCTATTTGGTGGAATTCTCTTGACACAAGTGTTTTTAATCATGCCAGCAGTGTGGCTCTATGGACGGTCCACTACCTTGGTCCAGTTTGAAATATGTAAACAGCTACATATTGGATGGCTAATAGACAGGGACAGCTATTATAGCAGTCTGTTCCCTTCAGGACTTTGGTGTCCCCTTCACTCCCCTTTTTTGTGAAACATCTCAACAAGTATTGGTTGGATAGCCATGAAACTTTGTAGTGCAGACACACAGAGCAGCTAGCAGAGCTGTAGACCTTTCTTGTAGTCAGAGGGGACCTGTTCACTGTCGCTGTTTGTCATTTCCAGAGGAGATGGAGGGAGACACTGAGGAGCCTGAGTCACATCTCAGCTGGCTCCCCGCTCCGCTTCGCAAACCTCTGGTCCCAGGTTATTTGATCACGCACCTGCTTTGGCAGACACAGCAGCCTTTCTCTTCCAACATGTCTTCAGCCTTCTCTGTCCTTGTTTGTCAGGCTCTTACTCCTGCTGCGTCTCATTCTGCTCATACGTCCTCTTTGTGTCTTCAGATGCTCTTGGATATGTTGTAATTATAAGTTCAACACATAAATGGGATGTGTTCTGTTCAGAGCTGGTTACAACGCCAGATGAATATCTCCTTTTCACTGTGCAGAAGTCGGCACTTCTCCAGTATCTGAGTACTGGAAACAGACATTCTAGTTGCAATTCAGTAAATTAAGACCAAAAGCATTTGAGTGTGCGATGAGGAGTATTTAAGAAAACCAAATGTGGAAGGAGGAGAATACGAGGAACTCTTCAAGACAGCATGAATCTCAACCCCTCCTCTCTTTCTCTTTGTCTTTTGCATGCAGGAAATATACAGAGCGCTCTGCACTGTGACAGTTTGCTTCTTTTTCCAGGATTGGCTGAAACTCTGCACTTCTCTGCTCTCTGTGTTGTCTGTGGATTCATTCAGATGGACGAGGCTGAAAGTTGTCTGTGCATGTGATGCGATGGCTACGATACCTGTAACTTGTCTTGAACGATGGTCCCTTTTTAAGTGTAGTCCTTGCACACATGATGGGCTGTTGCAATTTTACAACTAACACTGGTTGGTTTCTCTTGTCTTTTCCAGACCCTTCTGTCTTCTGGGACATTCACTAACTATTATGTTTAGCTCATTTTTGTGACATGAGTGTACAGTGACTTTATTCACCCCTCTTTTCTCTGCAACCTGCCCTCGTCCTGCAGAGTCAGACTCCAGGGCAGATGCATATGTGGAAGGGAAGGACCAGATTGGAGGCTGGTTTCAGTCCTCGCTGCTGACCAGCGTAGCCGTCAGGAACAAGGCACCTTACAAGTGAGTGTCTCATCCTCTCACTGTGGTGTGCACCAGGACTGAATGACTGTAGATGACTCTGTGTGCCAGATACATAGCAAAAATATATTGAATTGTAAGTATCATGGCAATACAACAGATTGCAATGCAGTGGATGGACAGTTTTTCTTTCTTTCTGTTATTATTCATTTGAACAGACCACCTTGAGTTATAATCCATCCAAAGGCTGTTGATAAATGCACATACCCCAAAAAACCAAAAACAAAAAACACTCAACAACAATAGCAACATAACCAGATCATCTTAGTGATGACACCCTAAATGGCACATGGGTAAAATAAAATAAATAAATAAATAAAACATACAAAACAAACAAATTAAGAAATAATAAATACTTTGTGTATACTGTCATTATTTCATAAAATATAACTTTGCTTAACTCATTGTATTTCCTTTTGCATCATTGATTCGAGCTGTAGAAAGTTCCAGAGAGACGATGTCTACTAATGAGAGGATCCATTGGGAGATGTGGAGTTTATGAGGAGGTTTCAACCTTAATACTAACAGTCTTTTGGTGGCTGTCAGACCTAAAAGCAGAAGTATTCTCTGAGATTTGGAGACATTAATTACTGAATCATCATTTAGAAGTAAGACATTAGGTAAAATAAGAATAGTATTTCCTGTGATATCACATAACACAGTATATAACTCTAGACCAAAAATACTTCACAGCCGGGCAGCCCACATTATATGCAGATAGGTTCCCACTTCATTATTATTACATAATGTACAGATGGGCGTGGGACAAAGGTTGAATTGAAGGTCTTTCCTAGGGGTTAAATAAAAAAAGCGGTCCTCTTATAGTAATTATTTTCATCATTGACTCTATCTGTATGATTTTTCTAACATGAATGAAAGCATCTGGTGGACATTGCTTTAGCCTTAAACAAGCTTGGGATTTGTCATTGGTGTAACTGATAGTGACAAGTTTATCAGTTTAAGGTTACTGAAACTGTTAAACTTGAAAGAAGCCTGTACTTTAAGTGCTACACCAGTGATCTGTTATGACTTTTATAAAGGAGAAAGTAAAATAAGAGATCCTAATTTTTCATGGTGTGTGTGTGTGTGTGTATATGTGTGTAGGTCTCTGGTGGTCCACGGCTTCGCTGTCAGTGAGAAAGGAGAGAAGATGTCCAAGTCTGTGGGCAATGTTGTGGATCCTGATGCAGTCATTAATGGAGGGAAGGTAAGGTGCCGGCCTCTGGGAAACTGTCCTGTGACTGTAACAAGGTTTGGATTTGTCCTTCAGTGTGAACATATATTGAATCAACTTGTTGCACTCATTATAAAATCCTTTTCTAACTTACCCTTAATGGTGTGTGGCCATGTAGATTATTTTTATGCTATTTGCCAAGGTTTTGATATATCTGCTGCTGAGACTTTAACCACATCTGGATAAATGGAATAGAATTTCCTTTGTATTGTGTAATACGTTTGAACACTAACAATATCTCGGCTCATATTTCAAAACATTGACAAATAAAACTGAAATACTATCTGCAATGCCAGATACGCCCAGGTGGTCAGTGGTATGTTTTCAGTGATTTAGGTGACCTGACTCTTAAATTTTATCAGGAGTCACTAAAACTTTTATAAAGATAACTTCTAGATGTCGCTCTAGAGCCCCACCATCTCAGATCAACACAATGGGTGCTACCGCCAACCACCTCGTTTTACCTAGCTGATAATAGCAGAAAAAACACTTTAAACTGGACAAAAACAAAATAAAACTCAACAGAACTGTCTTTGTTAGTCTTTCCAACAATCACCAACTCTTGTTTGGTCCAAATAAATCCTTAATTTATGAGTTAAATGAGAAAATAGCCCCAAAACGGGCTGCAGTGCCCTGTAACGTTAGCTACTCCTTGGAGACAAATACAACAAAGTACGTTCACTAACTGCTTGTTTCTGCCACTGACAGACTCAGATTGTTATTCTGTGTGTCTGACAGCATTATGGAAAGGATCCCTACAGACATAGAGCTTTTGTTTAACCAGAAACCGTAATATCACTATCACTCAGCACCAGACTCCATAGAGAAAAACAGAATTTTACCTTGCAGAACATTATACCATTGTAACTTCATTCAAATTGGACAAAAACAAAATAAAACTCACCAAAACAGTCTTTGTTAGTATGTCCAACAATCACCAACTCTGGTTTGATCAAAATAAATCCTGAATTCACTGTGTAGATGAGAAAAAAGGCTTTTAACATACACATGCGGCTAGACCGGCTTTGTAAACAGAGCACAGAGAGGCTTTGATAACAACACACTCCGAGAGGGTGTGACATCATTCTCTGCTCAGGAGACCGTGACTCGACTATATCTTTACATAACAAATAGTGCTTTCCTGCTATATTCAAATGTAAATCTCATATAATCTTTTGAAGACAAAATGGTATTTTTCTTGATCTATTTTCAGGACCCCAGTATGCCAGCCTATGGGGCAGATGTGCTGCGTTGGTGGGTGGCGGAGTCAAACGTCTTCTCTGAGGTTCAGATCGGACCCTCTGCACTCAACTCAGCCAGAGACAGCATCAGCAAGGTACCAGTGCAGTAAGGACGCGGTTGCAAGAGAGTGTTTTATTTTTTTGGAATGATACCGCTTTCACACTCTGTCCATATTTCTCTCCCAGTTGAGGAACACTCTGAAGTTTCTGCTCGGGAACCTGCAGGGCTTCGACCCCCGCGTGCAGGCTGTGGACCCCAAAGAGATGCACTACATTGATCAGTACATGCTGCACTTGCTCCGCGAGTACAGCATCAAGGTAGAACTTGTTCATCTCAGTCCAAACAGAGCCAGCTGCTGACTGTCATGAGGTTACTGATGTGTGTGTGAATGTGTGTGAATGTGTGTGTATGCGTGTGTTTGTGTGTATTTGTAGGTGACAGATGCCTACAGTGAGTTTGATGCTGGCAGGGCCATCCGTGTCCTCCAAGCCTTCATCGCCAGAGACGTCTCCAACTTGTACTTCAGCATCATCAAAGACAGGTCCACAACATGAAAGCCACTCTTGGTTTAGCTGTGTCTGTGTCCTGCCTGTGGCTTTACTTTGTCTTAAGTTTCTGTTAAACTCTGTCTTTGTTCTTCTGTCTTTTTATTTCTGCCCTTTTCAATCAGGTTGTACTGTGATCCAGAGGACTCGTTGGGCAGAAGATCATGTCAGACGGTTTTAGAGGAAGTCCTAGATGGAGTGACCAGATCCATAGCCCCCATCCTGCCACATCTAGCTGAAGAGGTCTATCTACACGCACCAGGACATGACCGTATGTGCCTGTTGGTTTGTGCTGTCAGAATATTGAGGTTACCCCTTATGACTGTGACCGTCTGTTCGTATATTTTTGTTCACTTGCTAACAAATGCACTCCTCTACTGTAATTGTCTCTGCAGAAGGGGAGACGTTATTCAAGAGCGGCTGGGTCAAAAGCAGTTCTGTGTGGCGGCGACCAGGATTGGAGGAGGCAGTGGAAGGGGCGTGTGCGATCAGGGACTCCTTCCTGTCCTCCATTCCAGGCAAAAACGCAGCCCAGTATGACCTCACCATTGCCATTGAACCCGGTTTGCTGTTTGAACTCATGGAGGTAAATCAAACCAAACACATCTGAGACTGAGACTGATGATATTGATACGATTGAAACAGATTGAAACCAACAAAAGTCTGTTGGCTGCAAAATACACTGACCTTTTTAACTGGTGGATGAAATGAAACAGTCTCAACTTAATACTGATGCCTCTTTATGACCTACATAAACAAAGGAGATCCTCAGTGAACAGATTTCCACATTCTATATTGTTATTCTTATTGCCTGCCATCGGGTCAAATTTGGTAGATTCCCCTTGAAATGAGTGAAATGAGGCAGTAGAAACACTACCGCTATTGTCCATAAAAGAGAAAATGATCCACTAAATGGGCTGCAAATATTGTCTGTAATGTGTTGTTTGCTTACATAACACTACATTAATAAAATACCTGGCTAGAGCTATAACATCATTTTTACTGGTGTAACACCTTTAAAATATTACAATACTATAATAATTGTTACATAAATAAAAAATGTCTTTTATATTTCTGTATGTGTATTTAAAGGCTCAATATTAATAGAAACTCCTCCTGTCCACCTCTACACTCCCAGTCTCTCCAAGAGGAACCCTCCTCCACCTCCTCGCAGCTGGTTGAGCTGATGATGGTGGCGCGGGTCAACCTCACCAGTAAGCTACCCCGCGACCTGCCCTCAGATGCCCTGCTGAGCCACGGAAGCTTCCTCATAAACCTGGAAGGTGAGGACCGTCAATACTAAGCTAGTGATGCAAATGTTAACCAAGTTTGTGGGATGCCATACTTCCTAACAGCTACATAACACTGGCAGTGTCAGGGCCCGGGTGCTATTGGTTACACATGAGGCATGTATCAGTAATTAATGGCATGGATTACCATGGTAACCCATGCTGCAGGTTTTAAGAGGACCAGAAAAAAACCCGAAATCATAAAGTTTGGGGATTCACAGGAGAAAAGGATTTTAAAGAATGGTCAAAATTGAAGCAGCAGAGGTTGATATCCTGACTTTTGGGTCAAGCGCCAAAATCACTTGATACTACATTTCCCATAATGCATTTTTCTTCTCTGTTGTGTATTAAAGTTCACAACATAAAAAAGCACCAACATGTAACTGCCAACCTCCTATTGGAAAAACATCAATACGCAGTGACTTCCAGTTTGCTCAGTGTGTGTGTGTGTGTGTGTGTCGTCAGGTGGTGTTATCCGTGAGGACAGTGCCTACAGTATAGCAGTGGTACCCACCTCTGCTGCCCGCTGCCCACGGTGCCGGCGATACACTGCAGAGTCAGCAGACTGCCTGTGCCCGCGCTGCCAGTCCGCTGTTTCACAGGCTCACTGACGACCAGACATCGCGTCACCGTGACGACCAGCGAACACCACCTTGGCTGTTTTGTTTCCCCGCTGGATATAGACCAGGTTTTACGATGCCTGTCTCTATTATATGAGAGTTGTGACACTAACTCTGAATCAATTGTCCTCTCTGGTAAGGGAACCTGCAGGTTGGCACAGGGCTGCATTGTAATGGCCTAACAGCAGATAAGCGTACTGTTCCTCAATGTGCTTCAGATTTCACTGTTTCGCACTCACTGTACACTTTCCTAGAACAGCAGGTGAAGCTTATATGTCCAAGGCTGCAGCATGAATGTGCTGCTTATACATTTGGTCTTGTACCACCAAGAAACTGATACAGCATGAGCTAGATTGTTTACTGTATATATATAATTGGGAATTTAATATATTGACTTGATTTTCAGTCTAGAAGGGATGCCATTCAGAGGGTGTATGTGTTTTTTTTTTTTATGCGTTAATACATGGAAAAGAAATTCACTACCATGAGAGTCACTGTGTGACAACAGTATAACAGAATTTATATTGGGTGTGGGTAAATTCTGTAAACGCCTACTTTATATAATAAAGCCTGTTCCTCGTCAACTTTCCCATAAAATTGAAGGTGTATGGAAAGATATCTCTAAGTTATAAATAAATGGAGTTGTATCTGAACATGTTATGAGTGTACGTGATTATTATCTCAACAGAAACAATATCTAAGCTTTTGAGAAACCTTTTTATTCTGCATTGGATCAGCCCAGTGGGACTACAGAATAGAAGGTGTACAGGCACAGCTAGTACAGTACTGTCTGCATATATAAATAAAAAATAATTCTTTATGATACAGCTCTTGTCCATGAGAGGGAAAGCGGAAGGAGAAATGTCAAACAGGACTCTGATATGGCACACAGTTAGGACACCCACACACTGACGTCTGATTTTTAAAGAGAATCGGATTGAAAATGAGGGAGAAGTGACAAAGAAAAGACATGCCCCGTTCCTTAATAACCATCTCCTAAACGCTTCAATAACACAAGAATTCATTATAATTTATGTTACATGCACAAAAATATGATGGATTAAAAAAAGTTAAAAGCCTATCATATCCACTCTACATCGCTGCCTTCTACTATTAAATTGTGAGGACGAATTATTGTATTAACGTAAGCTGAATAACGAAACAAAGAATCTCCTCTGTGACAAAGAGGGTCGCTTATCACCGCTGCCTCTCTCATCCGTCCACTATGGCCAAGCCTTAAAAAGGGGTCTCCAACCCCCCATCCCTCCCTCTCAGGAGGGTCAGTCCTCAGTGGTGAGGGCCTCCACAGCCTCCAGGAGGTGCAGGGCCAGGCTGTACTGGGCGTGGTTCTCCGGGAGGATTTCAATCAGACGGCCGACCAGCCTGCTGGTCTGCGGCAGGGGGACCAGGGGGCACCGCAGCTCACCGGGGTCCTGCAGCACACGAAACACATTATAAACATGATGCTAGGCAAAACTTCCAAATAGCCCTTATCAATGTAATGACATCTGGTTCAGGTAGTTTTTTCCATGGGTCCATGTCCTGTCTAGTGATTACTTAAAAGATACTCTACTTGTGGTTCAGGGTGCCTCTGTGAATACTGGAATACAAGAGTTGAACTGAATATTGAAAATAGCATCTAGCCTCTGAGGACCTGTGACTGAAATATCTCCAGTGTATAAGATGTTTTGGTGTCTCACCATAGCCTTGAGCCATGTGCAGAGGGTGGGGGGCAGGCGGGCCAGGAGCTCCATGGCAGCCTGCGTCTGGCTCTGGCTGTGGAGCAGTGAGTAGCTCAGCCTCTGGCCAGTCAGCACCAGCAGCTGGGAGCCCAGTACATCCTTATCCTCCACCTCTAACATCACCTGGGTGAGGACATCCAAAACCACACACTTACACAGCAGAACATTTCAAGCACTGTGGTCAGCATAAAGGTTTAATAGAACGTACAACAAAAATGTAGTATCATCCCAAAGAGCCACATTTTCCTTTACCTCTTCAGCCCGGGGGTCGAGGCCCTGGTTGTAGAGCTCGCAGACGAGGTGCCGTCTCAGGATGTCGGGGTTGACCTGCAGCAGGGAGCCCAGCTCCAGACACATCGAGGGCCACCAGTCAGCCTTGGGGCCACTAGAAGGTAGAGGGGGGGTGCTGGTGCCAGAGGAATCATCTATAGCCTGCACCCAGGCGGTCAGCACCCGCAGGAGGAACTGGGACATAGTAGGAGGGAAACACAGATGAGACAGAACATTTGTTTCAATATCTTCATTACAATTGACTCCTAGATAAGTCCAGCTCTCACCTCTTGTCGTAGTGAGATCAGGCCTGAGTCCATGTCTCCACTGGGCATCAGCTGGATGGTCGTCAGATCTCTGAAGAAAGCATTCTTCCCCTGTGACAGAAAGCAGAGCAATACTTAATAATTTAGAGAGGATCAATGTGTTCTTTTAATACAGCCAATACACTACGGCTGTGAACAGACAATGCTGTAATACTAGATTAGGAATCAGACAGCAGAATGACAGCAGCTGAATAATGCAAATAACCTTTTATATAATAATGTGTGAGGACAATAAAGTATCTAGTAGCTATTAAATGATGTCTAGAGACTTTGGTGGATATAGATAGGTTTACATTTACAGTCAACATGAGTATTAGTGAGTGTGTGTGTGTGTGTGTGTGTGAGTGTATGTCCCCTCACCTTGCTGTCAAACAGGCTGAGTGGTTTGACCTTTAGACTGAACGTCATAGCAGAATGTAGCAGAGAGGCTAACAGGCAGTGGTGTTGCACCAGGGGGTAGTGGACTCCTCTCTGTTCCAGGGCAAGTTCAGCTATGGATTCGGGGCCCTCTGCCCCGAACCACGCCTCCTCCCCAGACAGCTCTGGAGCTGGAACCTCTTCCACCGCGGAGTCCGCCTGCATGGCAAAGGAAAGAGATGATGATGAGAAAGGGTTGTGTAGTGGTGAAGAATGTGGCTAATTCACATTGTGATCATAACTCACCCGCAGTTAACGCAGTGCAGAATACAACACATGCACAACATTTAAAGTCCCCCTCCAGTCAAAAGTGTTTTGCTTATTGTTGGTTCAGTTGGATGTCTAAGCTTCACCATGCAGAATGATCTATGTGCACATATACTAAAAATGGACTTTGCATCATCATGTCTAGAAGTTAAACTTTTGAAATGAACAATATTTATATTGTCTAAATTTTCTAGAAAGAGGTGCAACAAGGTGTTTGAACTATTTTGTGGAGAAACCATATCAGACACAAATCATAGTTGGAATGTCTGGAGGGGATCTTTAAGTAAGCCAGCAAGCTAATGAAGTGCGTGTCAGCTGTGGTTAGTAGTGGCAGCGACAGGTTCCCCATGCTTTTTATCTGGAATCTGTTTACTTACATAGTAATTTATAAAAGACAAAGGGCACTGATTTTTAACCAATACTCCAGTCACCTCCATGAGGATCTGCAGCAGCTGGACACAGCAGCCCAGGAAATATGTCGCAGCTTTGTCTCCCATCCCGACATCCTGCACACATACACACATCATTAATATGTGAAGCTTAATTCTTTAATTGCAATACTACATAGAGGATTGAAAAAATCTAGCATACATCAAGACTGGCATTTTATATTTGAATCTAGGATGATGTTTTAGAATTTATACTGAGACACAAACTTACCCGTCGACATAAGCGATCTTTAGGTGATTTCCCCACCTAGGAAAAAAGAAATGGAAACATTTTACATGTTGCCCCACAGACTTAAAGGTTATATATATGAGATTTAAAACAATAACATAGCAAAAAACATCTATTTGCTATGTAATGATATCCTGGAGTCATGGTGTCCTAAGCCTGTGTATCACAGTCTCTCTGTGGTTTCTTTCCATAGCAGGTCTGCTCTGCTCAGTAGAACGACTGAAACTGCTGTTTTTATCATCTACGTCTGCAAATTCAGGATTTATTTAGACCAAACAAGAGTTGGGGATGGTTGGAACAGTGGACAGACTAACAAAGACTGTTTTGGTGAGTTTTATTTGGTTTCTCTCCACTTTGAATGAATATACAATGACATATGTAAAATTAGCGTTTTTCTCTATGGAGTCTGGTGGCGAGCGATAGCAATATTACTGTTTCTGGTTAAACAAAAGCTCTGTCTGTAGGGATCCTTTCCATAATGCTGTCAGACACTCAGAATAACAATCAGAGTCTGTCAGTGGCAGAAACAAGCACTGTTAGTGGGCTTCATTTGACAGGTGCATTTGTACCTGTTAGCTTAAGTTGCAACCATTGCAGCCCTTTTCACAAATATTTTCACATCTAACTCTGTGAATTAAAGGTTTATTTCAACCAAACCAGCCTTGGTGATTGTTGGAAACTGTGGAAAGACTAAGAAAGACGGTTTGGTGAGTTTAATTTTGTTAAGTTTTGGTCTGAGATGTGGGTGCTCTAGTTCGACATAAAAACACCTTCCCTCAGGTAGAAAGGTGTGTGTGTGTGTATAATTTACCTTCTCCATGAGGAAGGCTGCTGCTGACAAACGCTTGACAATGAACGTGCTCCACATCATTGTAGAAATACCTGTGAGGAAGATTCAAAGTTCAATGACACACTAATAACTGTCACTTTCAGAAGGCACTGATTTACATTTACATTACAACTCATAATACAGGACTTTCACTCTGAGGATATATGTTCTGGTATTTTACACATGCCTGAAGAATGAACACCCTTTTCTATAATTAAACATATTACTAAGATACATCAGACATATTATTATAAAAACTTTTTGCAAGCATGTAAACAAAAGCCACTGAGCCTCTCACCTAGTTGGATATGTGGACTGGTGACCAGCTTTAAATGTTCCACAGCCCAGCTTAAGTATCGACTCTCCTAGGAAGAGAAGCAGGTGTCCAGATTTCACAACAAATGCAATTTATGAAAACCTGCCTTTCCCCTCTGGTGAAACTGGCTTGTTGCAGCAAGTACTGACAACATACACAACATTAACAGAAGCCGACAACTATCAAAGAATACCCAAACTGATAAGACTACATGACCAATGAGTAAGATAAAATTGTTTTTTTAAACATTTAATGGCTGTCTTCTGAACTATATTTATCATAGACACAAATACGTATCTATGTGGGCGCCCGGTTAGCTCAGTCGGTAGAGCTGGCGACTCATGTACAGAGTTGCTGCAGCGGCCCAGGTTCGAATGCGACCTGCGGCCCTTTGCTGCGTGTCATCCCCTCTCTCTCTACCTGTCTATCTTCGGCTGTCCCTATCTAATAAAGGCATGAAAAGGCCAAAAAAATAACTTAAAAAAACCCCAAATATGTGTATGTATGTGGTAATGTGCACCTCAGGGTCTTTGTTCCACTGCACTACATATTCCCAGGAGCAGTGGGCGAAGAGCAGGTCGGGTGAGAGTGAGTGGGGGAACCGCTGGCACACTGCCACCAACAGCTCTGGAAAACACAGCGGACACTGTGGTAATGTAATGCTGTATGAGTCTACAAAGGTTTTAACATGTAAAGGTTATAAACATGAGAGAGGATTTTTAATTTAACATCCAGATTTCTGTACATCAAAACCAACGTTTTGATCAGTGCTTGTCCAGAATTCATTCCAGCAGCTAGATACCGTATCTCTGAGTCCTGACCTGCTGTCCTGTCTGTGTCCTCTTGGCTCTTCTCCTCCTGCTCCTTTCCTTCTTCTCCTGCCTTCTGCTCCAGTTTGTCCTCTGCCTCTTTGTCTTCTCTCTTCTGGAGAATTTCCTTCAGTCGCTCGGGGGACATGTTGTGCCTGAACACCCACTTGGAGACACTGTCAGCAATGCCACCTTTACAGATAGATGTGAAAAGAAACGTGTTAGAGCATCTGTCATATGTAGCCACAACCAGAATATGGATACTGAAAGAATAAAGAAAAACAATACAAGAAGGAAGTGACAGAATTACATCTCATTTAGAAGGAAATCATCACAAAAAAACTGAAAGCAAGACAAATAAATACAACAGCCTGCCTTTACACTGTTTATTCCTGAGGATATTCTTCTTTACTGCCTACCTGTGCCTCCTTCCATCAGCGTTTTGATGGAGCACTGTGCTGCAGCGCCCCCTCCTGCCCCCTGAGGAGGAGGCACCAACAGCAGAGTCTGCAGCACCAACACATCCTCTAGCTGGCGAACAAACACCACCCACTGCTCCAGCTCTAGGGACACCGCCTCCCACTCTGACTGCAACTGTCACAAACATTAACATAAAACGGGCGGAGTCAGGGAGTGTGCTTTCAGTGGCTGATACGGCAATAATATGGCAAAGAAACAGGTATTTTGTACTTCATGTTGCAAACTGCGTGTGTGCATGAGGCTTCTCTACCTTGCTGTCAGCCCGGCTTGTGATGCTAGCCTTAGCAGCACGGTGAGCAACGAAGGCGGCCAGCAGAGCAGCAGCAGAATTGTGGGACTGGATGCATGTGTGGCGAACTTGCTGCCACCAGGGGGAGATAGACTGGGTGTCCCAAGACTCCTCAACTGCACCTAAAGATGAAGAAGAAGAAGTGGTAACTCTTTTATCATCTTTCATTACCTTTAATTGGCTGACAGACAGACACTTATGTAACAAAGTCAGAACCATCGACTGTGTATAAAAATGGACCACGCATCTCTACCTCCTCCTGCTGTGCAAAAATGAATGAAATGAATGGATACATGTTTTTTAAGCAGCTGTCATGTCATCTATCTTGGTGTAGGGGCGGGACCTTAATACCACAGCTCTAAATGACATCACCAGGATGAAGATGGCAGCGGCCGTATCCGGGATATTTTGGCTTCATTTTTGGGACAAAGTGGAGACGCAACGCCCATCTTTTATATGTGGATGCTATATACGGTCAATGGTCAGCACACTCACAAAAACACATACCTTTCATGTTGCTGAGGGCAATGAGTAGTGTGTGTAAGTTTCTAACGGTTTCTCCTGGTTTCTGTAGCACCTCCTTCTCTCTTTGTAACCACACACTTAGCAACAGAGACTGAAAGAAAGAGGAGCAGGAAGAGTAAAAATTAAACACATATATTCATTTAGAATGGTGACGATACAAAAAAAACTAAATCATAAAATAAGTTCTTGGTTGCTGTCATTCCCGTTCTCTTAGAGGTGTTTTGGGAGGCTATGGCCTATGACAAAAAAACACACTTTTCAAAATATGAAATAACAAAAACTACACATCACTATTACATTTGTCTACAATTTATCTGTGATTTCAATTCCTTTTCCCCCTTAGACATTATCATGTATTAACCCTCACCACACTTTTACCTTCATTAGCAAATCTCAATTCAATCAATCAGTCTTTTCCTCCACCTTACCAGTAGCTGCTGTGGACTGATGCCCGCCTCCTGCAGTGTGTCACAGACTTTATGGAGTGGACTGTTTCCACACAGACAACCCCAGAACATAAAGTTCCCTGCAAAGGACATACAAGAGCAAAGTACTCAGTCTGGATTTGTGTGCTGTGCTCCCTCATTGAGGTTTGTGTATATTAAAGGTTTGTGTGCGTCTTTTTTTCCTCCCCCACAATTCTCCTTGTGCCTTGTGTAAGTCTGTGCTATTTTTACTCATGCCCATTTGTTTGGTACATATACAGCACGTGTCTGGGACAGAATGCATCACATCTGGACCTAAAAACCTGCCAATGCCCCACATTGTTTTTGCTGGATAATTTGATCTAGTCTTGTATTTCTGGAATAATCTTGTAGTCTGTAAGCCTCGTACTTTGTGCACCCTCATGTCAACATGACATGAAGTCTTGTAGTCTCCACTAATTAGTTATACTCTTTATTCACGGGTAGCAATTAATAACGTCGTTGATATTTGATTGTGTCATGGTAACTGGGTAGATGGCATATAATGTGAATGCAAATGTTGCCATACCTAGCCGATTCCATTCAGTTTCAGACACGTGGATCACCCTCAACTCCCCGTCCTCAGTGCACTCCATCTGAGAGAGAAAGGCTTGGGCAGGCAGGGGTGAGTAAGGTGAGTCCTGGGCAAATGAAACACTGGGTCTCGAGGTGAGCTGGGCGTAGCGTTGCAAGGTGGGGCCAACACGCGACAATTCCTCCTCTATGCCTTCAAAGGAGTCTTGCTGGGTGGGAGACAATAACTCTGCTTTACCACAAACCTTAAGTTAGATTATGTTATACCGTTTGTGTTGGTGTGTGTGTGTGTGTGTCCTCTCACGTCTTTAGAGCTGGCCTCTATGTCTGCAGCAGAGTGCAGTTGCTGGATGTCAGAGTAGAGCTGAAGCATTTTCAGCTGTGAAGAGCAGAGCTGGAGTAACGCTGTATCTACTTCCTCAGGGTCTGTAATGCAGAAACACATACATACATTACATTTTTCTCTTGCAGGACAAGGCTGTTTATCAGAGACAGAAGGCTCTGTGAATATAGCTTGGTCAACTTTAGAAATAACAATTAAATTTAGTTTTCTTCACAGAAATAAATTAAATTCTGGGATACCACTGTCTTAGAGCAGAACAACCGTTTATTTTCTGAAATAATAAAGTGATACTACACCTTGTTGCTTCAGAACGTCATATAAGGCGCCTGTGACTTTAGTAAGACATGAGACAGGAGCATTCTTATTTGACAGCAGAGACTCCAAAGCCTAAAAGGAAGCAGGAAGGCTGCAGTTAAAAGTGTGACTGTTACTGCCGGAGACAAAATGGCTGTCTATTAGTGTGTGAGGCCATCTGTACTGTATCTTTGGTTATACCTGCTTCTTAATTGCAGGGTGTTTGATATCCAGCAGCACACTTTTGGCTTCGCTCTCCAAAATATCTGAAAAGAAAAGATGATTAAAAACACATTATTCACACCTCTCTTATGTCATCCACGTATATCCATGTCTCCATTCTGTTCTCACTCATGTGTTTCTTACCAGGCTCCACCTCTCTGCTCCTCAGTATAGTTGTCAGTCTCTTTAACAGGTGCATGTCTTTGGCTCGCTCACTCTTCTTGTCACTGAAATGAAGAAGACAAAGAAAGAATGGGGTCTGGATGGATTGCTGGCAGACCTCAATTCCTCAACATTCTTTAGCTTGATAGCTAAATGAGGCTTTTGAGCTGAGTCAGTAAATTATGTAGAAATAATTAATAACGTGTCTTTAGCTGAGGTATGCAACACAAATATTACTAAAACACATTAATAATTGAATTGTAATAGCTTTAGAGGTCCTGGACTATATCTTTAAAAATACCAGCTGATCTACAGTAACTTCAGGTTAATGTATGAGTGTGTGTGTGTGTGTGTGTACCAACCTGAGGGCCAGGTGGAAGGGGATGTTCACTGTCCTCAGTGCTCCTGTGATGGGATCCAGCAGACATACCTGCTGGGTGTGGAGCTGCCAGCCCTGACTGGTGACACTGTTCACCCCCATTAGACGGTAGCCAGCATACAGCAACCTGGAACATTTTACATACATTTTGTTTTATGCTATTCCCCAGTTTGTACAGTGCATGTTTCTGTGGTATGTTAAATATGAAGATGCAGAGGTGCTGTTTTGTTTGTGATGCTTTTGAGGCGTGTTTATACCTGCAGTGTTTTCCCACAGTGAAGGCTCCGACTCGAGGCCCCTGCTGCATCGACCACACCTCAAGAATACCCCTGCGGGGGGCGTAGATGACCAGGAACAGGGCATGGCGTCTGGGGAGGGAGGCAGAGGGGGAGAACTCCCGATCGCCTCTTTCCTCTGGAACCTGCAGCCAACCCAACTGAGCATCTCGGTAACCTGCAGTTAAATGAATTGTTAGATTTATATTGCAGGGACATGCTAAATAACTTTTAAAGGTTATTTATATATATATGTGATATTTCAAACATGAATATAGCAGCAAACAACTATTTGCTAGATAAAGTGGAGTCATGGTGTCCTGAGCAGAGAATGGTGTCACTCTCCCTCTGCCTGTGTTGCTATCGCAGTCTCTCTGTGGTTTGTTTCCATAGCCGGTCTGCTCCGTGTGCAGCTGAGTAGAACGACTGAAACTGCTGTTTTTATCATCTATGTCTGTGAATTAAGGATTTATTTCAACCAAACCAGAGTTGGTGATTGTTGGAACAGTGGAAAGACTAACAAAGACTGTTCTGGTGAGTTTTATTTTGTT